CCTGATGAGTTCACTGCACAAATTTGTGCTCTAAGACTTACAAGAAACAACATATGACTTAATGACCAAAATATCGAAGATATGATAGAGTTGGAACGCAAAAACGAAGAAAGTATATTAAGAAAATGAATATGATGATGTTGAATACGTTGTTGGCAAAAGACCACTTATCACCGGAAGATGAAGAAATGAAACGTCATTTAACAAAAATTGTATTTGGAAAGTCGTTGTATATTATCATGTAGCTTTAATTTATGTCATTTTAGATCGTCATGTAACTTTAATTTATGTCATTTTACTTATTCTCGTGTAAGGTTTCATATTCATGTAATTCTAATTATTCTGTAAAAGTCTAATTAGTATGTTTTTTTTTATCTAATCTTTTTCAGAAGTCACATGTTACTTCTATGATTGTCATACTAGTATAATAGTCACATGCAAAATGAAAGACCAAGGCTTGTTTGGAATATAGTGTATCTTCACATTTTCTTCCTAAATTCACATGCATTATATTGTCTCAAAAATGTCTTCGTATTAAATCAAAAGATGAATAATTTACTTTACTTTTACTTTTACTTTTATTTGTACTTTAACTTTTTCTTTAATCTACTTTACTTTTCTTTTATATTTACATTATTTTATTTTAAATTAAACTTACACCAAACTCTTCATAGTTCATACCACATTCCTATATAATATGGTTGAATTTAGATCAATTTTATTTCAAAATCATCTCATATCCATTTTCTTTATATCAATTATAACTTTGTTTTTCGTAAGACAATTCATTCTTGTTCACAAATGTCTTCAAGTGAAAACTCATATGAAAGTTCAAGTTCTAGTTATGAATCTTCCAATTTCATTGAATTTGATGAATGGGAAGAACGAGCGATTCAACAAAAAATCGACAATTTGATCGTATTATGGAAGATGTGATTGTTCGTGTTCCAAATATGGTCTTATAACCAACAAATAATGTTCCTAGAGCTAGAAGGCAGGTCATTGAGAGGCAACGAGAGAGATGAGAGGAGAAGGTGTTCAATTACTATTTTTCCGACAATCCAACCTATCCTTAAGATGTATTCCGTCGGAGATTTCGCATGCGTAAGAATGTTTTTCTTCATATTGGGAGCGAAATCACCGCAAACAACAAATATTTTCAACAAAGGCGTGATGCCACTGTTAGGCTTGAGATTTCAAAATTGCAGAAATGTACTGCAATCATAAGGGTGTCGGCCTATGGAACATCAGTGGATGTTGCTAATGAGTACTTGCGAATAAGTGAAGCTGTAACGAGGGAATCTCTCATGAAATTTGTAGAAGCCATCATTTCTAACTTCGGCGTCCAATACCTCAAAAGGCCTAATGAACAAAATTTGGCAAGACTACTTCATGCGGGGAGCAACGTGGATTCCCATGAATGATGGAAAGTATTGATTGCATGCATTGGGGATGAAAAAATTGTCCTACAGTATGGGCTGGGCAATATGCAAGAAGAAGTGGAAAACCAACAATTATTCTAGAAGTTGTTGCATCATATGACTTATTGATATGGTATGCATTTTTTGGAACACCAGATTCGTGTAACGATATCAATGCACTTCACCAATCTCCTGTTTTTTATGATATTTTGGAAGGTCGTGCACCAAAAATCAGCTACGTCGTGAATGGTCATCAAAAAAATATGGGATATTATCTCACTGGTATATATCCTTCATGGGATGCATTTGTTAAATCAATTACTTCTCTGCAACTTTGAAAGCACAAGTTGTTTACTCAGCACCAAGAGGCGGCTAAAAAAGATGTTGAGCGCACATTTGGTGTTCTACAGGCTCATATCGCATTTATCAAACGATCATGTCTAGTAGAGATCGTTTTTTTATGGGAAGATTTATGATGGCTTGAATCATCATGCACGATATGATAGTACAAGATGAACGAGCCGCCTACTTGAACTATTATGATCCTACATAATTTATGAACGATAGGCCTACAAACGAACTGAGGCAACAACGGAGGAACAAAAGAAATGGAGTAGAATAAGAGGACGATGATATGCCTTTTCAATACTCGACCGAAAGAGTTACAAACCTATCTACGTATATGATCAATAGGTCACAACTCCGTAATAGAGAAGCTCATGTTACTCTGAAAACTACTTGATTAAGCTCATATGGGAAAAATTTGGCAATGGTAATTGATGTGTAATTTCTTGAAATGTTTCATTAAAAGAAAATGATGAAATTCTAACAGAAATCTATTCCAAAAGAATTATCCCAACGACAATTCCAACGGATATTTCAATACTATTATTTTCGTTAGAATTTTTCAATGTATTCCAACGGAAATTCCAACAAAAATATTCCGTTGGAATGAGTTTTTCATTGGAATTTTCGTTGGATGTTGATGATTCCAACGGTGGATTTTCCAACGGGGTGGAAATAAAAATTCCAATGGAATTTGCATATTCCAACAAAAATTCCTACGGTATAAAGCCGTTGGAAATATAGCCGTTGGAATCACCAAATTCCATCTAACATTCCAATGAAAAACACATTCTAACGAAATATTTCCGTTTGAATTTCCGTTGGAACCATTCCAACGGAAGCTAACCATTGGAATATTCGTTGGAATTTCCATTGGAATATATTACCATAGAATTTTCCGTTGGAATATATCAATTATTTTGGAATATATTACCATAGAATTTTCCGTTGGAATATAACAATTATTTTGTAGTGTTTGTAACTTAATTATTTTATTTCATACCAATTTATGTAATTTCAATTTTTAATTACGTTTTTAATTTTTTTAGTTGCATGGTAAAATAATAATTTTTTAAAATTCTTACGATTTTATTAAAGAAATTTTAATTAATTTATCACAACTAAAGCAATAACAAAAACTCTATTGGGTTGGGTTGTGTTGGTTGGAGATAAAGATATATAGGTTGTAAAAGTTGAGTTGTGTAGGTGGAGGAGAGATAAATAATTTTTTATTATTAGGTTGAGTTGAATTGTTGATAAATATAGTCTAAGGGCCAGTTCAGGGTCGTGTTTTATTCCTTTTTTACCCGCTGGACCGGGCTGATTTGGGGGCCGTCCCGGGTAGGAAAACGGGTCGTAGTTGTTTTGTTTATTTTTTTAATTATTTTTTTGTTTTTTAAAAACTGTCGATTCGTAGAACCGCCGGGTCGGGTCGGGTCGGTTCATTTGAACCGGCCCTTAGATATAGCCGGCCAATTCCAGGCCCAACATTTGAGACCTGCCGACCCTCGTGAACCAGCCCCGCCTTTGAACACGTCTAATGGTATCCCATCATTTTGCCGGATGTCATGTAATCCAATCGGATTGCGTGGTACTTGACCAGAGCATCTTACTTTAAGGGCCAAAATTTTTATTTATTTATTTATTTTTCTTGCTGGAAGGTATCTCCATATTCACTCAACGACATCACCACGCACTGCCAACCCCTACCCGGTAGAAAGCCCAAAACTCAGGCATATCGGCCTATGGAATCCACACACCAAGGCATGAGACTTATCCTCTCAAGAGGTGCAGAGTGCCCCACCCTACACCGCACGATAATTGGGATCGATCCCGCGACGTATGGCTTTTAATCCATCGCCCAGCCACTTGAACTCACGTCCTAGGGGCACCAGACACTTTATCAAGCAAACACAAAATACCTATGGATATATATATAATAAATGATATGATGTAATACCAATAATGTTCAACCAAACGTCCGTAACAAAATGCAGACCACAATTTGTTCCCTATTGTCAGTACTCAGTCACCCATCATTTGCAACCAAAATCCTTAAGTTCAACATAAAGGGAGGGAGGGAGAGGGAATCCCACATGTGAGACCAGGGTTTACCAGCTTCGAAAACATTTGATATACAAGCTCATGTACTACTACTATTTGGGTTTTTCCCCAACTGATATCAATAAGCAACGAAACAATGGAACAATAGGAACCCCGCTCATTTTACCAAAGGAAGTACTTTATTCTCCTGCAAATAGCATGAGAAGGATCAAAAAGCAGGAGCGCAAAACGAGTCACCCCGTTCTTGGTCCGTAAAATGTTGCAACTTGGGGCTCAACCCAACTTCACTATCAAACTCAGCTGTGCTAATTGGTTTGCATGTTCAGCCAACTTGAACCCAGTGTTCTACTATTTTTTTTAATTAATTATAACTGAATATTTATAAATCTATAATATTATTTTGATAATATTTCAAACGAGCTACTTTGGTCAAGCCTGACACGGTACAAACAGAAGTCAGAATTGGTGTGATAGCTCAGCCACAGCGCGCCTTGTTTACACCATTCAAGCTATAAGCAGTATACCACCAATTACTTTAAGCTTCACAATAACTCAACATCGTACCTCAGCAAGATAAAACAATCATAATTGAAACTCGTACCTAAGATTATTTATGCAAATATACACAACAGTTTAGATCAAAACACCACCAATATGACATTATCTTAAGTATCAATGATCTCAAAGTGTCAGGAAACTCAAGATTGTATCTCAGCAAGACAAAGAGCAGTCAAAATTTATACTCATCCCTAAAATTATTAAAGCAAATATGCAACACTTTAGGACCAAACACCCCCACCTCAGAGCATCGCTATTCATAACAAAGTTCTAAACTATTCAAATTGAGCCAGAAAAGTAATTTAGTTGACAGCTTAATTTCAAGCGTAGGCAGCAAATTCACGGTATATGACAACAAGACAAACAATCACATAAAAACAGCTTAATTTCAAGAGTAAGCAACAATTTCACAGTATATGACACAAGGCAAACAATCACATAAAACGTAAAAATACAGAATTTACTTTAGTAAAAACAATGAATCATATAATCAGACACAGCAGCTCAATCAATACAGCAGATTTCTACTCACAAAACTCGTCAAAACCACGAAAAAAAAAGATAGAAAGAAAAAGTAATAACCCATCTCAGAAAGACTAGTTCTTCTCTCCCTCAGTTACAAATATAGACCCCGCTTTCGTACCTGTGATCTTTCTCATAGAAATCAGTCTTGCCCTCCGAAGCAGGTTTCAAAGAAATCCCAGACAGAGACCTCACCCCGTGTGACGAAAACTTGACGTAACCAACAATTTCGAGATCCGAACCATCATCATCATCCGCAATATCCACAGGCATCCTCGCCCTCAACCTCCCGGGACTCCCTTTCAGCGGAATCTCATCAATATGCCACTTCAGCTCTCGCTCGGACCTGTTCAGCACCCCTTTGGGTGAGACCTGCAAAAGGGTGGGGTCCACCGGCAGCTTGAGAATGAATGTCACATCCGTCAGTGGGACAGGCAACTCTGGGCTCGAGACATACTGAATCATAATAGAAAGCAATGTCCCACTGAGACGCTTCACGAGCCGAACTCTCAGAGGCAGCGGAGTCAGGCGAGGCTGTATACTGTACTTGATGATCGGTATGGGATCATCAGATGGGCCTGTCCTGATGTGAAAAAGCCCACTCCCCAAACTGCTCACCTTTGATCCCTGAACCGCAAACCTCTTCACGCCCTCTGTTCCCTCGACCTTGAAGGAGAATTCAGTCTCCTTATTTTCCTCCGAAGTTTTGGGAGGCAAAGTCTTCAAGTACAGCACACCCATAAGCCCAACACGAGCGAGCAGCGACTCTCGAAACTCCGCGCTGATTTCCTCCACCACATACATCTCGGGACCCTTCATCTCAGTCTTCTTCACCAGCACATCCTCCAGCTTGTCACCTTTTGCAGCAGCCATGGCTGCCGGTGGTGGCTCACTCGTCTCCAGGAGCTCCAAGCCACCGAGGCCCCGA